CGAAGGTACCAGGTGCTCAGCAGCGGGGGGAAGCGGCCCAGGCGGCGCTGCCTTTTGCGGGGACATTGGGGCCGCAGGCAGGGCTGGCCACCAGGTCTGCTGGCAACGGGGACAGCGGAGCGGGGCTGCGCAGCGGCGTCGCCCCCCGTGCAAAGCGCCCCGAGGAGCCTGCCGGAGGCTGCCCGGCTCGGGCAGTGCCCGCGGCCGGCGGGGATTTCGGCTCGTCTCGGCGAGCTCCTGGGGCGAGCCCCGGCTTCGGCGTCTCGTCGTTTCACCGGGGCTAGCTCGGACCCCGACCCCGGCGGGTCGGCACCGGAGCGCCCGGTACCCCGCGCCACTCCCGGTCCGGGGGCAGCTTTGCGGAGCTGTGACGGGTCCAGCGCCGGCCGGCCCAAGCCTCTGCGTGGGCTGATCCCGCCGGCCAGGGCTGGCGGCCCGTCGGGGATTCAGCTCCGCATTCAGACACCTGTTGTGCCGCGGACTCCCCAGCAAGGCCGGGGCGGAGGAGAGCGGGGAGGAAGAGCAACAACGGATGCTTTGCCACTTGGCGACCTGGCAGCGGGCAGGGGAAGGGCAGGGGATGGCGACTTTATCCTCCACGGCCTCCCCCAAACGCTCCGCAAGCGCGCGGCCCCGGCGCCGTGCCCGGCCTTCAGCCGCCACGCGGAGGGAGCAGGAAGATTTCAGATCGATAACCAAATTATAACCTAGGAACTTTATGCTTGTCATGCTAATTTAATGACTTTCATAGTAAGTGTAGACTTTCTGTCTTTGGAAATTAGCTCTTCAAATCGCTTTGTGTAATGACAGACACTAGACATCAGAGACAAATGCACAAGCAATAGCAGGATAATAATCTGGCAAACACACGGTGCCGTTTAATAGTAGGAACATGGAGAGCCAAGCGGAGGGGTAGGTAGCTCCTCGCCCGGGGCCACTGCTCTGCAGCCCTGCGTCCAGGCTGAGCTGGAAATAGAAAATCCTGTTGGTTTGTTTTTTTTTTTAAAAAAAACCCACAACAACCCCCCTTGGTTGAATCTACCCGAGAACAGGGTTTTTTCTAAAACAAATAAAAGCAGAGGTGTTATTTCAGCAAGGCAGCTGATGGATGCTTTCTGGTGCGACTGACACTAGACAGCGCTGTACATGCAGCCGTGCTTGGAGCCGGCCGGCTCGGCACGGCACGGCACGGCGCGGCACGGCTCCTCCCCGCCCGGCGGCCCACTGCCTCTGGCGCTGTCCGCACGTCTGTCCGGGGCGACTGCCCGGGCTCCTGCCCAGGAGACGCTCTCGATAACAAGGGGGGGCAAAGCCCCGGTCGAGGAGGGCGCGGGGAGAGGGGGGAGGGGGTCGCTCCGCGCCGGTGCTTGTAAATAAGGTGAGTTCACACGACGATCGAGTGACGGCCGAACAAGGGGCCCATTTTAATCAGGTGGTTATCTCCCCGCGCCGGAGATCAGAGCTGCATCGCTGCTGGCCTTGTCACTGTGTGTCCCCTGCTGGGAGTGAGAGCTGCTTCGGAGCCGCCGCCCGGCCCGGCCCGGCCCGGCCCGGATTTCACCTCTCGTGCGCGGCACACGGAGCAGAGCGCGCAACGCCGCGGGGGCGGAAACGCGGCCTCTGGGCAGCCCCGAGGTGGGCGAGCTCGTGTCTGGGAGCGAGAGGAGACTTCAGTCGGGGCTCCTGGTCTGACCCCCCCCCCCCCCGGCTATAACGTTACAAACGCGGCAATTTCCCGGTGTCAAATCAACCCCTTCTCCGCCCGGCCGCCAGGTCCCGCGCACACCCGCGCCCGCCGGCGCTGGCTGAGCCGGGCAAACTCCCTGCGTCCCTGGCCCTGCCCCCGCGGCCGGGGTGCTACGTGCTCCGGGCCCGCGAGATGGGGTGTGCGGGGGCATTGCCCAGGCCTGTGGCTAACGACCCCGTCGGGGCTGGCACCCCCGAGTCTGTGCGGGCAGGGCCTTTGCGGGGGCCTGGGGCAGCCTAGGAGCGGGGTGGGGGCTTGAATCCCCCCCGGGCTTCCCCGGGCACACGGGCGATCGCTGGGTTGTGCCCGGGATGGGCCGAGGGCTGGCTCCCGAGTTTGCCGTCGCTTTGGCCGTAGGGTCCAAGGGATTTGGGCGCGAGGGCGGGCGGGGAGCTGCGTCCAGCCCGGCGCGGGCTGTCGGTGGGGGCTGGGGGGGGACGACCGGCCTTGCTGGCCTGCCCCAG